ATCTTCTAAACCAGGTACCGTTTTTACTTATTCCACCAAAAATGCTTCGCAGTATTTTTCTCTCAAAACTAGCTATCATATTTTCATCTCCACGGGTCATTGTCCAGGTCTCACATGCGTATGTAAGCACTGATCGTATAAGACATTTATAGAGTAACACTTTTGTTTTTCTTTTTATTAGGCTTGACTTAAGATATTTTCTTAGGCCATAAAAACACTTATTGGCCATCGTGATTCTCGTGTGTATTTCTTGTGTAGTGTCATTTTTGTTGCTAATCTTAGACCCCAAATAGGTAAAGCTATCAACGGCTTCGAATTTGTATGCTCCAATTTCAAACTGTGTTTCTTCATAGCCAGCTTTTGTGCAGGGCATATATTTAGTTTTATTTTCATTGATTCTTAATCCCATCTTAATGGCTTCCTTCTCCAGACATAAAAAGGATTGTGTTAATGCTGTCTGCGTTTTAGCGATAATATCTAAATCATCAGCAAAAGTCAATATTTGAACTGATTTGTTGAAGATATTTCCTCGGGTGTTGATGTTTGAGTCCCTCACTATTTTTTCTAATGCTAGATTAAAGAGGAGACATGCCAAGGCATCTCCCTGTTGTACACCATTTTTAATTTCTATTGGATGGGAAAGACTATTCTGTAACAGAACCTATAATTATTTTAAAATTAATTATAAATTTTGCAAGCCTGCCACAACTGTTTAGGAAACAAAGCTGAACTTTGCACAGTATTATAAAGCTTCAGAATAAGTTCCAATTCACAAATTAATTTATAATAAAAAAAATTATGCACTTTCTGCAGTTAATAGTTTCCTTTTTAAATGTGACTTTTCTGTTAGTTGTTTCAAAATGTCATTCTTTTAAAACTATCAAAAGGAATCATTTCTTACTGAATCTGAAAATTCAATATCCTGCTTATAAAATTGTAATAAGATAAATATTTTAAAGGCAAAGCTTAATATTATTAATCCAAGTTTTTTATTCATTTCAAATGCAAATAAATATTTAAAACAAGTTAATTTGTGAACAACCCCTCAAAACACCATTTTTTTAAAAAAAATCTGTTTAAAAATTTGTAAATTGAAATAAGAAAATTTTAAATAAACTATACAAAAAACTCAGATCAATAAAATTAAATTAAGATCAATTAAAATCTTAAAAAATAACATTCATCATAAGATTTAGTGTTATTAATAATGTTAAAAGCTATTGTACTTCCTTTCAGTTATGATTTTATTTTATTCCATTAATTTAAAAATTAAATAAGTATATGCAAGCTCAGCACAACAATTCTATTTGTAATAGTGAATTGTTATTATAATGGACTATTACAATGTTTACATACACATATAATGTAGAAATAAATTAGTATTCTTTTACTCATAGAAAAAAAATACTGAAACAAAATGTTAAAAATTTCTTTTACAAACTTTAAAAGAAACATTATTAAATCTAATCACACATTAAAGTATATGCAACGCATCCGAGACAACATTATTGGACATTAATAGTATTTTATAAGGTAACATTACTAAGTATACAGAACAAAAAAAAAAATACTTGTTATACAGAAAGGCATTTACAAAAACTATTTATTACTGAACTTATTTCAAATAATTTAGTTGAAGAAGTTACAGGTAATTTTTCACAAAAATTTTAATTAAAATTTCACCTGGCTTAATTTTTTTATACTTAGAAATCCATCAACAAATGAAATCCTTGCCTTTTCAACCAATCGATTAAGATTTTAATTGATATAAAGTAACTAAGATTGCGTCATTTCAATTAGTACCTACCTTGCACACTTCAGTTAATTTTAGAGTCATTTGTGGGAGTAAAGTTCCTAAGTATGGAATGACACCTTCTTGCAACATTGAAAAAGTTCTCATAATAGCTGAAAGAACAAATTGCAAATATTTATTCAAACATAAGGCTCACCATCTGCAAATTCATAATATTTTTTGATGATAGAATAATTTTATTTAATATACAAAAACAGTTAACTATTTAATTTATTTCTTGACAAATGTATATATATATATATGAACATTAATATTAAGAACATCAGAAAAAGATCAGTATTAATAGTTACATATTAGGGGTCCACAACCTTTTTGATTAGAGGGCTACTTGCACAGCAGGTAGATTAACAAAGGGCAGCACACATATTTACACGTTATGATAATTTTTACATAAACATCAGTGCTCTAAACAGTTTTCTTTGATCAGTAAACTCAATAACATGTTTGCAGAAAATTATTTAACTTTAATCATTTGAATTCCCTTGAATACAAATAGCGAAGTAGAATTTCAAATTCTCGTGAATACGAAACGAGATATTGATTTCAAAAACATGTAAATACAAATTGCAATATTCGATTTTTAACTCATGTGAATACAAATAGTGATGTGAGATTTTCAAATCGCGTGAATACAACTCACAATGAGTAACTTTTAAATCAGGTAAATATGAAATTGATGTTTGATATTAAAATCACGTGAATATGAATTGCAATATTAGTGAATTCCGGCGTAGTTTAAAAAATTAAAAACGATGAAAATCAGACAAACAAAAAAACAAAAGAAAATCAAAATTACGGAAGAGTCGTGCCTATGAAAACGCCTCGTTAACGCGAATTAGCGAAGGTTTTAAAATTTAGATTTTAGAACATTATTCTTACTTTTTATTTTAGATTCTAGAACTTAATTCTTACTTTAAATTTTAGATTCTAGAACTTAATTCTTACTTTAAATTTTAGATTGTAATAAGAATTAATCTTAAATTGTAGAATAATTTTTACTTTAAATTTTAGATTGCAGTGAAAATTTTGTCGGATTATAAGTTCTGATTCGCCAAAGACCACAAATCCATGGTCTTCAGAAACGGGGAATAGCGTGAAAAAAATCACCTGCCTTGCTCCTAGCTTCTAGATCTGAAGGGATGATACAAAAAACCAGGAATTCCGGGGTACACCCGGAATACAATCACTATCGTAAACTATATCAGTAATTTCAAACAAATTTAACCGGAATTTTATATGAAGTGTTTCCTTTTGCACCATAAAAAATATCTATTTTGTCTTATTATCTATTTGTTTATTATTTAAAAAAAAATCTGTATCAGCGAGCATATTAAATGAGTAGTCTCACAAAACCAATGTTTTGATATTAACACAAAAGCAGGCATTTCCTTAATTTTAATCAAGGCATTTAAAGTTTTAATTGCAATAATTTTGTTGGCAAATTAAGCTACAGAAATTAAAATATGTTACCTTTCATAATATATTCATTTTCTGATGAGCCTTTATGTTCCATAGCAGCATAGAGATTTTTTAAAAGAAGTTCTGCCAAGGGCTGTATTTCCGCAGCACTGAAACTATAGAAGCAGACCATTTTACAAAACAGGATTTAACTTCTAATTTATTATGTGACATAAAAATGTAAGGCAACTTTATTCGGTTCATAAATAGCTGCCAATACAACAAGGATAAAATTCCAGTAGATTTTATGGTATAGTAAAAAATTTACGTAACTGTAATACAATAAATGCACTGTAAAAATACATTTTAGGTACTTCCTATTATCGACAAGTAAAATATAAAAAAGTGCACTACTCTAATAAGTAGAAATACAAAGATAACAAATATTTTTAAATATGGAATAACTAAATGGAATAAATTTTAAATTAAAATTTAAATTAATCTTAATTTTTTGATTTAAGAATATTTTTTATATAACTTAAAAATAGAAAGAATATTATTTAAAGTAGAAAAATTTTTGTTAAAAAAATGGAGACAAGCTAATTACACAATAATGAAATAGCATTTATTTTTTACATTAATAATCATTTCATTATCTAGTAACGTTATTACTTATTTTATAGTAAAGCAAGTAATAAGTAAAAAATCTATTTTGAAAGTGAGTATCACAATTTCAGGTAGGTAGGTACTTTATATACGTCACACTAAAGCTGCACAATGGGCTATTGGCGACGGTCTGGGAAACATCCCTGAGGTTGATCCGAAGACATGTCGTCGCACTTTTGATCTTCTGCAGAGGGGATGGCTCCTCTGCTTTGGTAGTCTGATGATGTGCGTATGAAGTCCAGCATTTTGAGGTAAAACAGTTTAACGAGGACCGACGCCACGCACCCTAGGCAGATCAAAGTGGTCACCCACCCGCTTACTGACCGCAGCCAGTGATGCTTGACTTCGATGTTCTACTGGGAACCGTGTCTTTACGATCAGACACTGAGGTACTATCGCAATTTTAGAGAACTTTCTGAAATAAATATGTATATTTTTTAATGGTGGGGTCTATTTCTCATTGGCCTCAGAAATGCCAGAATTTCTACTCTCTTATCGTTACCCAGTGGGCACCTGTGGCTAAGCCATGGCAGTGGAGTAGCGTCGCCCACGTCACACAACCCATTCATAGGCAGGTTACATTCACACAGAAGAAAGGAAATAGAACACAGAGAAAGTTACACCTCTGCCTACGGTGGGATTCGAAATCAAAACCCCATAGTCCAGTACACTAACTACTAGACCAGTGATTGGCTAAATAAAAATAAAAATCAAGACAGTTAAGCCCTTTCCTTTCAAAATCTTAACTATATTGATGAATATATGGTACTTTTTTATTAATAAGAAGGATATACTTACTAAGAGGCTCCACCATCAGCTTTCATGGTGAAAACTCGCTCGATAGCATGTGCACTGTACGTATGGACAACGGTGCTCTTTGCATTAAGAAGATTCACTATGTTAGGCAGAGTACTTAGAACCACTTCCTTGGGAAGCTGCAATTTTAAAAGCAATGTATAATATACTTGTTTTGTGGTTTTATTTAAAGACACTAAGATGCCAATCATTAGATATACCCCCTTTAGTCATAGTACTATGCATAATAGGATTAAAATGCAAAATAACATTAAGCTGATAAGTTATACAGGGTAATTCAAAATGAATATAGCGATTACAAACGGCTATTAATTCTTAATGAAATAGAATTTATCGATAAAATTTACACAGAATATAGAAGGAACTTAAAACTTTTGTATTACATGTGTCACAGGTTTTCTATGCGACTTCCTTTGACCACATAGACAAGGGGGTAGCCCATTTCACGCCATACATTCTGAAGCATTTGTGCTGTGGCCAAAGCAAGTGTATTACAAATGCGTTCTTTGACTTTTGAAATTCTTTTGGGTTAGAGTCGAGATGGCTCAGGGGGTAGAGCGTTCGCCTTTCAATGCGGCGAACCGGGTTTGAAACCCAGTCGATACAAATCCCGCATCCGGCTCGCGCCGATCACAGTGTTGGCGCGAAGTATCCTCAGTGGTAGACGGATCATGGCTTAGAGTCCCTTTGCCATCAGACTAATCGTGGAAGATTCTCGCTGTCTTCCTCTCCATGTAACGCAAATGTGGGTTAGTTCCATCAAAAAAAGTCCTTCACGAAGGCACATTTCTTCCAATACTTAATCCAAGAACTCCCTTGTCTTCTGGATTGGGTTCAAAATTACAAGGATATGACGTGGAACATTAGCAGTCGTAAACCCAAAAATTCGGTCGGCTGTTCATTGACAGTTGTTTTAGCCTTTCCAATATATTCAATATTCAACATTTTCAAAACATATCTTCAAAAAAATTTTTTAAAAGGAATTTAATTTTAATTTGTTTTGGCACCATACTCTAACAATAAATCTGTTAATAATTATCTTATTATAATTTCAAAATTTGGTATAGTTGTTAAATGTTGTTATTTCCATCATAAATAATAAAAGAAAATGGCATACATTAATTAACAGCTGAGGCACGAAACTGTTCTATTGTTTCACTGAAATTTGACGAGGACTGTCGTAAAATAGTCATTAGTGGCCCCCAGCAATCAAAGTAATCTTTGCTGTTTCGATTTGGTGTTTTGGTCTATTTTTATTTATCACTAAATAGTATATTTCATCCTAACTGTGAAAATGACACATTCTGCATATTATAATCTATTGTATTATAGCTATTTTTGTGTGTATTATAGGCATTTTTACTTAAATTCACTTTAGTTAAAAAGCATGCTTGCAAAAAGCATCCAAACTGTCTTGACCAAACTATTGGGGCCATATTTTTTAGATAGCAACTACCCCCCACATTTTGGGAGTCAGAAATCAGAATTTGTTTAAAAGAAATGTTTATTCAGAAAAAGTAAGTTTTTGTGTCTGATTTCGAACTTAAAATATCGTTTGCACTAACAAATTAGCATAATTTAGGTCACCTCTTTGAACTATTTAAGAACGAGTCCTTGAACAAGGAGATCCGATCAAAAGTTACATAGAAATGTCCTTTTTTTGGTGCACTGTACAAAGCAGGAAGTTACATCCCTTCTAAAATATATTTAAACAGCAACATTATTCAAAGTAAGTTAAAGTAACTTACTTTAGTTCTAAATATTAAGTAGTATTTAATGGAATCTGCTTTCAACACCGGAAATTCATCAACTGAAAGAATAAAATATGAGTTACACAAAAAAATCTTTAACTGGTTTTTAAAAATAACATACATTTTAAAAAAACAGCTGATCTTTTGAAGTAATTTTATTCTAAAATTCTAAATGTAAAAAGGAAATAGCGAAAAAATTTACAAAAGATACTCTTTTGAACTAAAAAATGAATATGAGATTAACTGTACTGAGCAATTTGTTTCATTGCCTGGTTAAAGTATAAATCAGTTGGTTAAAGTATAAATCATAAAATTTTAAATTCTAATTTTCAATTTCAAATTTAAATTTAAAATTCTTTTATTTGCCAAAATTATTCTAAGAGAACAGAAATAAGAAAAACTGTATGGAGAATTTCTTAAACTTTTATTTTAAGATTAGAACTTTCAAAAAGGAGATTTTCAAAATTAACTCATTCTTTGTGCTCGAGATATTTTATGTAAAAATTGTATTTTATGAAAGAATTTTTTTTTAAAATTTATTTCATTTTGACATAAAAATGCAGCAAAGCTAAGACTCAACTTATCTCTTTACTTGTCAATTTTCTTACCAGTGACATTTATTTTATCATCTTAATCAATCTTTGGTTAATTAAATGTCATTTAAAAAACAACAAAACATTATTGTAAAAGTAACACTTTACAAACAATACAAAACCAAATTTCTTTATATTTCCAGGGTAAAATTTATAAACATTTTACAGAATTTTGTACTAAAAATAAAAGCGATCGCAATTAAAAAATGTACACATGTTAAAAAATCATCGACAATGTACAATAAATGCTGAAAATCCTTAATTTTTTCCATTTAAATTAATACACTGTTCTGCATATTAAAATTTGTTCAATATATACAGTTACTTGATTTAAAAAAAATACTTCTTTAATTTGAAAGATGGAAATAAAATTGTTAATTTTAAATACTTATTGAAATAGCACACATAACAAGAAAAATTAATAAGAACACTATAATTTTTAATAAGATAATGATTGGTTAGGAAAAATTCTTTTAATGCCTAATGAATAACATATTAAAACGCAGTATTAAATTGCTTGTAATTATTATTAATTTATAATACTCCACGAATTTCTAGAGTATATTTTGAACTTCCCCAAGAATTCCAGTGGTCTTTTGAAATTCCTCGAGAATTGCAGGTTCCAATCTAGACCTATTCAGAAAATAAGATATCTGCATATATAGCAAAATCAAAAAAAATTTCAAATAAAGACTGTTCATTGAAAAAGGCTTGGGTGATTTAACTTATGCCTAAATGCAGACCTGTTTTGGAGCTAAAAGTTTTTCAAAATCCAAAGTTTTAGAAGTTATTTCTTGCAGTGCACATTGTTGCATTGCAGACACGGCCACTAATATCTGCAGGAGTGTAATTAAGTAGCATTGTAGAAGTCATGCAGAATAATGCAGTAAAGAAAATCATCAGCTGACAAAAGCATAAGCAGAGTTTAGGTATTCAAATGAATTTACTTTCAAAATATGCGTTTACTAATACTTCCTTTTCCATGGTTTCATCTGATTTATTGCAATCACTCACTGAATTCTGCATGGAGGGAAATTCATTGCTATAAAAAAATAGTTTTTAACAGAATGCCAAAAATGCATTGATTGTAGCAGATTTGATCATTCACTCATGAAAAAATTGCGACTATTTTACGAAAAAGGCGGCTTTTCTAATAAAATAGTGACCTTACCTTAAAAAAAGGGACTCTAAGTAACCCTCTGCGATTACTGTTATCATTCCTGATTGAAAACATTTGGTTCAAAAGTATACAAATATGAAAAAACATTTGGCGTGTTTCAAGCACTTCAAAAATAGACAACCATTTTCAAGACTTGCCAGGCATGAATGTAACGAAACAAAAAATGAATTAACATAAAAATTGTAAAGTTGCCACCGAAAAATGGAAAAATAAAGGCGAGAAATGAAACTAAAAAAACCACAGAAGTCGAGAGAGAAAAAAAGATGAAGGTCGGAAGGTATGTAACAGGTACCAAATATACCAATATGAGTATATATATTAATATAATTGATAGTGAAATAATCAAAAGAAACTGAAGCCGTATGGTATTACCTGATAAGAAATTTCATTTGCATCAAAAATAAATATGAAATATCAGTTGACAAGATTCAAAAAGAGATACTCATTTTCAGTTATTTAATTACCGACATCGTTATTCTAACATAAAACAAGCATATCAAGTGTAAAATAGCATGAAACTCTAACTAAACTTCAAGTTAAACAACAAATAGTTGGAAGAAAATAACACACATTATTTCCTTATTAGATATATATATACCCAGTGGCAGAGTTTTTACTAGTTTTCTGCAACAATTCTCTCTAGTACTTATATCTTTCTGAGAGACATTTTTAATAGCAGCAAATATATATGTTACTGATTTAAAATGACAGAAGTGCTTCCTGTTTTTCAAAAAAAAAGCTTTCATGCATAAAACAGAACAGCATATATTTTTCAAAATTATAAATGCAAGAATTTTTTTTTTAAATCTAAAGATAAAACGATACATATTCTAATAATACTGGAGATATTCCTGGTCTAAAAAAGTATTGTATAGTTAACCTTTTTTAAATTTTTTCTATTTGGAAATTACTCTTTTATAAAATTAATCTGAAATTCTAGTGAAAGTCAACCATTGCAGAATTTTTTTATTCTCAAAAGGAAGTAGAAAAAAAATCATGCACATTTTTTCCCATCTCCGATATGCGAGAAAGGCATTTTTTGAATATAATTCTGCAGAAAGGGGGGGAAGTTATAAAGAAAAAATATATATTTGGAAAAACCCAAACTTCTTAGCTTCCCAAATAAAAAATCTTTCTACAGGAACTCTGTAATATTCTTCCAACAATTTTGTTCTGGCGAGACAACACTGTCTCCACGATTCTGCCAAAAGGGTATATATACTTTCAGCATATCCTCCTACTGATTTTTTTTATCTAAATCGGGAGTTCAAGTAGTATACTTGCCTAAAAATTGTGCCTTTCTTATTCAACCAATGAATAATGGAATATTAAATTCTTTAAAATGTAAGCATAAAAAAGACTTTTTGTGGAAAATGCTGTGTTCTATCAATCAGAGCAAAAGTATAATTGAATTCCTAAAGGAGTTTGACACAAAGGTTGTCCTTTATTGTGCTGCAAATGCATGGAACAATATTACTCTTGAAAATTTGCGACAAAAGAATTATTCCATAAATCAAGAATTTTTTATACTGTGTGTTCAATGAAAATATCAGAAGCTAGGATGATTTTCGATGCTCAAACAATTTTCCGAGAGAAATGGATCTATTTTTTTATTTTTATTTTTGACTGTGGAAAAAAAAAAGAGGTTAACTGTTGTATATTTAAAATGTTAAAAATAAAGTTATTTCGGTATTGCAGCAAGTTTAAGAATAGTGTAAAAAAATTTTTCAGGTAAGATAATTTATTGTATTTACAGTCTATAAAATTTATAATTCAAGCTACTAAAATCCTAAAAACACAAGATATACGCAGATACTTACCACCAGGAGATTGTAGCATAGGTAGTATCTGACTATTGAAAAATTCAGTAATATTTACAAGGTCATTAGTTTGAGTAATTCCATGCTGAAAAGACAAAAATGAATCAACAAATCTACTTGAAAATAATCTCTCAATATTCTACTAAACAAATTACTTTAATCTAAAACTAATGTTAAGTAAAGTTTCCGAATAAATCTAAAAATTATATCTTTTCATGACATCAGAAAGTTCTAAATTTGAAATAGTTATAGAGTTGTATTGAAATTTCTACGGTCTCTTATCCTTATTTGAAGCGGGAGAAGAAATTTATTTTCCTCATTCCCTGCAGTGAGAGGGCTTAAAATGATACGAGACCATTCGCTAATTAAACATTTACAATCTTCCCAGTTATAAAACTTAACTCTTAAAAAATTTCAATTTCCTTGTCAAATAGAAAAAAGATATTTGCTGATAATTAAGGTCATAACAAATATTCGGCCCTTTTGCCGAATATTTGGTGAAGTTTTATTGAGGAAAATTTTTAATCAATTTAATAAAGAATAATCTTAAATCGTATCTTTTACTATACGTTACTAGAAATAATTTTTACAAATATTTGTTAAGTTCTAATACTTGCTCATTTATGTTCAGAAAGACAAATGGAAAAGAGAATTGAATCTAGATTACATTAAACTGAGCCATGAGTTTTTTAATGCTCATTTTTTTCTCTTTTTAAAATTATATACAGGCAAGTAAATTTCATCATTTTTTTCAACACTTTATATTTTAAAATTGACAACTCTTTTTCCCCTTTTTCTTTAATTTTCTGTTTTGACTAATATGAAGCACATTAACAGAGCGTTTCTAATAGACTTTATTCTTTTATTGTCACTTTTTTCTTGTATGGTAAAACAAATAACTAGTCACATACAATCATGTGATTTTCAACCTTAAAATTATAATTCAGAACTAAGGACAAATTTTTCTCTTTTCATTAACTTTTCTTTTCATCAGCGGTTTTATTATGACAGCATTTTTTAAAGAACGTTTCTAATGAACATTATTCTTTTATGGTCACCTTTTTTCTAAAAATACAGCAATGTGAGGAGAAAAAATTAGATTTTCAGAGATAAATCTATTGTTTAAAAATTAAGAACGATTTTTGTTCTGGTTTCTTTCTAGCTTCTTCTTTTTCAAAAAACTCATGTTTTAATTGACATTTTAATTATGACACAGCAATTGAGAGGGTCAGTTTCATTATATAAACCTCATTTAAGATCAATTTTAACATATGCTTGTAAAACCTGGATCATATCTTGCACGGATGAGGCTACGTTGGGTACCTTTGAGAGAAAGGTCTTGAGAAGTATTTTCGGAGAAATCCAAAAAAATTGTTTGTGGCTTAGAAGATCAAATCTAGAGCTTTATCGCTCATATAATGAACCTGACATTACTAACTATATTAAACGACAAAGAATAAAATGGGCAGGCCAAGTCATTAGAATGGACAAAGACTGTACCACAAAAAGAGTTTTCAATGCCAGACCAGTTGGCACACGAAAAAGAGGTACGCCGAATTTGAGATGGATGGATGACCTAGAAAAAGACCTTATGGTTTTAAAAACTAAAAACTGGAAAACACTAGCAGGAAAAAGGCTAGCCAGGAAAAAACTTCTTGAGAAGGCCAAGGCTTTCCCTGGGCTGCCGAGCCATTGATGAATTAAGAGGGTCCTATAAAATTTCATAAAACAAGATTATATACAAAAGTAAATTTTAAAACTTAACATCTCAGTTTTCAATAAAAACTAATAGGAATATTCTTAATTACCATGTCATAGTAAAAACATCATTAAAAAAAGTTTTTTGCAAAATAAAAAGCCAAATAGAAACCGTTCATTTTTAAATGAATCATTCTTAATTTTTAAATTAAACAAAACAAAAATCCTTCTTAATTTTTAAATGAGAGATTTAATGCAAAAAATCTCAATTTAACTTTTTCACATTTCCGTATTTTTAGAAAAAAATAACTGTAAAAGAGTAAAGTTTATTAGAGACGCTCTTTAAAAAATGCTGTCATAATGAAAACGCTGATTTTAAAAAAAAAAGTTGAAGAGAAACAGAAAAAAAAAATTCTTAGTTCTGAAATATAATTGTAACGTTGAGAAACAGAAAAAAAAAATTTCTTAGTTCTGAAATATAATTGTAACGTTGAGAATCACAGTTTTCTATCTTACCGGTTATCTGTCTTACTGTACACGAAAAAAGTGACAAAAGAATAAAGTTTACTAAAAACGCTCCAGTCAAATGCTGAGCTATAGTTATTAAGGAAAAAGAAGCAAAAATAAAACAAATAATTCATTTTTAAAACATAAAGTGTTGAAAAAACAAGATTGTCTTGCCTGAACATAAGATTAAAAAATAATAAAAAAAATCCCCAATACTAAACTTGTGGTTCAGTATAAAGTAATCTAGTTTCAATTCTTCAAATTTCATTTTTGTCTTTCAGAACATAAATTAAAAAGTTTTAGAGCTTAACAAACACATGTAAAAGCAACTTTTAATAATGTATAGTAAAAAATAAGATTTCGGATTATTTTTTATTAAATCTATTCAAATTTCCATCCTCCAAAAATATAACTTTTTGAAAAATACTTTTCAAAATGACACTTAACAAGAAT